GCCACCTCTTCTTGATGTCTTCTGCTTCTGTAAGGTCCTTACCACTTTTGTCCTTTATTATGGTAATCTTTGCATAAAATGTTCCTTTAATAGCTCCAATTTTCTTGAACAGATCTCTGGTATTTCCCATTCTATTGTTTCCCTCTATTTCTTTGCGCTGCTCATTTAAGAAATCCCTCTTGTCTCTCCTTGCTATTCGTTGGAAGTCTGCATTCAATTTCATGTATCTTTAACTATCTCCCTTGCATTTTGCTTGCCTTCTGTCTGTCGCGATTCCTTGCGGCGCTTTTAGCAGAAACGCTCAGAGTCCCAGGGTTTTCCAGTGCAGTCTTTTTAATGTGAGCTATATACAGGTAATTACAAAAACAGTCCATACAGAGTACCTGCTCCTTAAGGCAAACGAATACTCTCCACCACAGCACCACCATACCACAGCACAACCACCACAACCACGGTTACTGTTGAACAGGCTTTCCTTTTTAAAACAGGTGATAGCCAATCACATTAATCACACTCCTGCTGAGTCACTCTGACCCAGCACTTCACAGAGTATTGCATCATCCTGTTGAAGCCTGCAGACTTACTCAGTATCCTGCGAATCCCAACACTCCTCCTTAAGTCAAAGGCTTGAGACCTAATAATTCTCTTAAGTCTTGAAATTTAGGAGCATCCAAACATTTTGTATACAAATCCGCCACATTACATTTTGTGTTACAGTGCTGTACCTTTAACACATTTCTTTCCAAAGCATTTTTCACATTTCCGTATCTTATCGCAATATGTTTACTCTTGCTCTTAAAGTTCTGTTGGTTAGCAAGCTGTTGTGCAGCCATGTTGTCACTTAGCACAGTGATTGGCATTTCAGAAGGTATTCCAAGCTCTTTTGTTAGGCAAGCAAACCACTCTATTTGTGACACACATTCGCTTATGGCTGAGTACTCTGCTTCACAAGTACTTGTGGCAACAAATGTTTGTTTCTGGGATTTCCACTGAACCAGGGCATTTCCAATATATATGGCATAGCCAGTGGTAGACTTTCCATTTTCTCTGTCCCCCCAGCTGGCATCAGCGTATGCATACACTTGCTGATCATATCCTGTATCCAGCATCAGTTTGTAATCTTTTGTGCCTTTCAGATACCTTAGGATTCTTTTAAGTGCTACCCAATCTCTCTGAGCAGGGTCTGCACTTCTTTGGCTTAACATGTGCACTGCCAATGTTATGTCGGGTCTTGTCCAACAACTTAAATATAACAGAGAACCCAACAGAGAATGAAATGCTGTTGCATTCTCACATTTTTGCCCTTCTGGTTCATTTTTGTACTGGGTAGTTATGGGAGTGTCAACCTCATTTGCCCTCTCCATTCCATATATCTTCAGTAACTTTTCAATTTTTTCCTTCTGACTCAGAGAGTAGACGCCCTCTTCATTTCTCTGAACCTCTACTCCTAAGTAATTCTGAATCTCTCCCAAATACTTCAGTTTGTATTTGTTACCTAGGCTGTTTATAAACCAAGACACTTGCTTTTGTGCAGTTGTTATTAGACAGATATCATCAACATACAGAAGTAAATAACAAACACTTCCTTGCACCATTGCTGAATATAAACAGGAATCAGCCAGGCTTTGTTTGAATCCCATCTTTTTCAAAGTTGTGTCTATGCATTCATGCCATAGACGTGCACTTTGGTGCAACCCGTATAGTGCCCTTTGCAGTTTTAACACCATGCTGTCTTTTTCCAGCTCATAACCTGGTATTTGCTGTAAATACACCTCAGGCGTCAATAGGAGCATTTAAATATGCTGAGGCAACATCAAAATGATTAACTTTTAACCCTCTCAGACTTGCCATTGCTAAAACTGATTTTACTGTTTCAGCCTTTGCTGTTGGGGCAAACACTTCATCATAATGTATCATTTTTCTTTGTGTAAAGCCCCTTGCCACCAACCTGGCTTTCCTCTGACAACTACCATCAGCCAGCTTTTTCACTTTAAAAACCCACTTACAGCTTATGGGCTTTTTACCTTCAGGCAATTCTGTAGGTACAAACACATTGTTGTTTAGCAGAGAGTTATACTCTGCCTGCATTGCCTTTAACCACGCCTCTTTCTCTAGAGTAGGTAACTCTTGCACTTCTTCAAAGTTTTCTGGCTCAGTTACACAAACCTGGTTTATGGTGACTGGGAACCCATAACGGTCTGGAGGTTGATTAATCTCACCCCCTGGGCTACCTTCAGGACTGCTTTTGGGGTGGATTGACTCTGTAGATCTACCTCCTCCTGTCCCTGTTGCACTTTCTTCTCTCCCCTGCTCCATGCTAGCAGCTGGAGAAAAATGCTCAACCTTTACCTCCTCCCTTTCAGTTTCTCTGGGAGAGCTGCCAATTTTCAGCTTTGTTTCAACTGCCTTATCAGGTACGCTCGGCAGTAAAACTTTTTCTGGCAGCAGGTTTGCATGTATCTTGGGCCAATTTCTTTGCTCATTAAAGCTGGCTGATCGACTATAACTCAAAAGATTTTTATCATCTTCAAACCTGTAGGCTTTCGTACCACTTTCATACCCAAGAAATAGCAACTGCTGTGCCCTTTTTCCACCTTTTCTTCGGTTCTTTACAGGTATGTCAACCCACGCCTTTGTCCCAAAGATTCTCAAATGTTGCAAACTGGGACTTTTGTTATAGAGAATTTTATAGGGTATGTCATCTAGTACCCTTGACCACAAGCGATTCCCAATATAATTTGCGGTCTTAATACTCTCAGCCCAGTACTTAATTGGAAGATTTGCATCTGCTAACAATGCTTTCATTTGTGTCTGCAAGACACCTCCCCTACGCTCTGCTACTCCATTCTCCTGAGGCGTCGCCACATTGGTAAGCCTATGTTTAATCCCTTGGGAACGCAACCAGTTTCTTAGGGAGCTTGCCATAAACTCTCCTCCCCTATCTGTCTGAATAGAGCACACCTTTTCGCCAAGTTGCCTTTCTACCCTTCTTACCCAGAACTTCAAAGTTTGGGCAACGTCAGACTTTTGCTTTAATGGATAGACCCAGCCAAATCTAGAATAGTCATCCACTAGGATCAAACAGTACTTGTTATGGGAGACACTTGGTGGAAAAGGACCAGTTACATCAGCATGAATCAACTCCAGTGGTTTTTTGGTTTCTCTCTGGCTTGCTCTTGCTACTGGGCAAGCCCTGCTTTTAACCTCCTTGCAGATATTGCAGTCTAAGTAATTATCACAACTTTTTATGTTTTTCATCCCCCCCACACAACTCCAATGTTTTGTTCAGCACCTTAAAGCTAGCATGAGCCAGACGCCTGTGCAGGAGATGAATAGACATATCATGGGTTGGGACATTTTGCACATTCGCAACCTTAGACTCACACTGCAGTACATACATATTAGTTCTAAGGTTAGCATTTGCCAACACTGCCCCATTTTGCTTTATCTGGCACTGATCTCCCACAAAGTTTACTTCAAAGCCTGCTTTTGCCAAGTCAGGAATACTCAGGAGATTGTTTTGCAAACTAGGCACACACAACACATTCCTGAATGTGTGTCCCAGCTGTGGGAACACAACCTCCCCTCACAAACCACATTAGCTTTCTGGCCCGTAGCAAGACTTACATGTTTTTGTTTGAAGCCCTAGCATCAATTAGCAATCCTTTTCTTTTACAAAAGGTTTGAGAAGCTCCACTGTCCAGAACCCACAGCTCTTCATTTTCTTGACCATCTGCAGACACCCAAGCGGTAGACTCTCTCTGCTGCCTCCTGTGCTTCTGCTGTTTTTGTTGTTTCCTCGGGCAGTCCCGCAGCAGATGTCCACTGGATTTGCAGCAAAAACACCTTTTTACTTTGTTGACCACCGGCTGGTCTGCAGCAGCTCCTCCTGGCTGTTTCTCCGGCTCCCGACACCTCTGCTCTTCCCGGCTGTTGTTCCCTCTGGGATGCTCCAACAGCTGGGCTGAGGTCATCTTTCGCTCTGCACGCCTGTCCTCCTCTGCATACAACCGTCCAGTAATGTATTCCAGAGTCAGCTTATCAGTCTCTACAGACTCGAGGGAATTGACCAGCATATCATAGCTGTCATCAAGGGAACTCAGGACTATAAAGACTTTGTCCTCTTCCCCCACAGGCCTCCCTCTTAAGGCTAGCTCCTGGAAACAGCCTGTTAGGAATTTTAGGTGGTTTACCAGGGAGTCCCCGGTTTCTTCCGACACCGGTACAGTCTCCTGGTCAGTGTTATCAGTGAGCCAGCTGTCTCTCGCACATGGACAGCCTTGAGCGCATTCCACGCCTCACTTGCCGTCACCTTATCAGCTACGTAGACCAGCTGGCTGTCGTCCACTCCAAGGATGATCGTAGCCAAAGCTTTCTCATCCTTTTCTAGCTGGGCCTCTGCTAGTGCCAGCTTTTCATCGTCATCCTCATCCTCCTCAGGGGCTGCGGTGGAGTTTCCACCACCTTCCACAGGCCCTCACGCTTGAGGAAGTGTTGCATGCGGACCGACCAGATGCTGTAGTTCGTGGCCGTCAGCTTCTCCAGCAACACGCCAGTTCTGGACTGCTCCATCCCTGCAGCTCACCTCCAGCACCCACGGCTAGATAACTGCCACCTGTACTCTTGCGCAGCGGAAGCGTGCTGGGCCCATAACCCTGTCGCGATTCCTTGCGGCGCTTTTAGCAGAAACGCTCAGAGTCCCAGGGTTTTCCAGTGCAGTCTTTTTAATGTGAGCTATATACAGGTAATTACAAAAACAGTCCATACAGAGTACCTGCTCCTTAAGGCAAACGAATACTCTCCACCACAGCACCACCATACCACAGCACAACCACCACAACCACGGTTACTGTTGAACAGGCTTTCCTTTTTAAAACAGGTGATAGCCAATCACATTAATCACACTCCTGCTGAGTCACTCTGACCCAGCACTTCACAGAGTATTGCATCATCCTGTTGAAGCCTGCAGACTTACTCAGTATCCTGCGAATCCCAACACTGTCCCCCGCAGTTTGTAAGGCCTCATTGGACAACCACTTTGCTTTCTTGCATTTCCTTTTCATTGGGATTGTTTTCATTGCTGCCTCCTGTATGATGTTCCGAGCCTCCAACCATAGTTCTTCAGGCACTCTGTCCACCAAATCTAAATCCTTAAATCTGTTCCTCTCTTCCACTGTGTATTCATAAGGGTTTTGATTTAGATTGTATCTCACTTACCCAGTGGTTTTCCCTCCTTTCTTCAGTTTAAGCTTGAATTTTGCTATAAGAAGCTGATGATCTGAGCCACAGTCAGCTCCAGGTCTAGTTTTTGCTGACTGTATAGAACTTCTCCATCTTTGGCTGCAAAGAATATAATCAATTTAATTTCGATGCTGCCCATCTGGTGATGTGCATGTGTAGAGTCATCTCATGTGTTGTTGGAAAAGAGTGTTTGTTATGACCAGCTTGTTTTCTTGACAGAACTCTATTAGCCTTTGCCCTGCTTTGTTTTGAACTCCAAGGCCAAACTTGCCAGTTGTTCCTTTTATCTCTTGATTCCCTACTTTAGCATTCCAATCCCCTAGGATGAGAAGAACATCCTTCTTTGGTGTCAGTTCTAGAATGTGTTGTAAGTCTTCCTAGAATTGGTCAAGTTCAGTTTCTTCAGCATTGGTAAGGTAAAGGGACCCCTGACCATTAGGTCTAGTCATGGCCGACTCTGGGGTTGGGGCGCTCATCTTGCTTTACTGGCCGAGGGAGCTGGCATTTGTCTGCAGACAGTCATGTGGCCAGCATGACTAGGCCGCTTCTGGCGAACCAGAGCAGCGCACGGAAACGCCGTTTACCTTCCCGCTGAAGCGGTACCTATTTATCTACTTGCACTTTGACATGCTTTTGAACTGCTAGGTTGGCAGGAGCAGGGACCGAGCAAGTGAGCGATCTAGGCATATTAGCATATCTTTTTTTGAGCAATATTTTGCCATATATTCATCAAAAAAATTCCACTCCTTTTTAAGTTTTTGATTCGACTGATTTCTTATTATAGCAGTTAATTTTGCCAGAATTAAATATTCATTTAGTTTACAAATCCATTCCACGTTTGTGGGTATTGTTTTTGACTTCCACCTAGCAGCAATCACTATTATAGCAGCTGTACTTGCATACAGAAAAATCCCCCCCCCCATGGTATCTCATCATCTGTCAATCCAAGGAGATACGTCTCTGGTTTGTTTGTTATTGATATTTTCAACATCTTCTTTGGTTCTTTGTATACTGCTATCCAAAATTTCTTAATTTCCTCACACCTCCACCACATATGTGGTCCAGGCAGTGGTATTTATATAATTTCTCTGTTGTTTTAGGTCGATTATGAGACCTTTGAAGGCCCCGCCTCCTTTTCCGCAAGAACTTCTGCACATGCTCCTATTTCTAACTGGCTATTTCTGCTGAATATGTTCTGATGCCTACCGTGTTCTTTTACGTTGTGTTGGTGTGCATGTTGGTAAGCTGTGTTATATGCAGCCATTTGCATCATGTGGCGACTCATGTTCCAGCTTTCAGCTGTATCTTTGTGATTCTCATATTAGCTGTATTTATGCCCCAACTGGGGGGCGGCAACTTGCAAAATAATCAGTTTCATAAAGCACAGGCTACCATAACTTCTGTTTTAGAAGCACACTCAAGGATTTAAAGGAGTAGACATTATCACATTTTTTGTGGCCCTTTGGGCAACTGCCACAAGGCCACTACTTCCCATACCATGCCAGCCTTGGGAAGGGAGAAGAGACAGGCAGACGGAAGGAATTCCCAAAGGTGTTTGAAAATGGGTGGAGGCTCTTGGGAAGCGGGTGCCCAATAGGGGCTTCTACAGGGGCAGCAGACTGTCTTGGGCAGAATCCCTACAGGAGCTCTGAGACTCCATTTGCTTCTTCCTTCCACCCAGGAAGTTACAACATGCCCTGGCTTCTGCGCTACTAAAAAGTTGAACCTGCAAACCTGGTCAGGATGGATGGAGGAAGATGGACAGGTGACCTGCTCAAGCTGTCTCCCGCATCCCTCCCTACGACCTCTGAGCATCCCCTCCCGGGACCCTCAGAGAAATCTGGTGAGTTCCAGGGGAGAGGAGATGGGGACATGGATGGCTGGATGGTGGAGGGAAAAAGAGGAAAAGATGGAGAGGAGACCAAAGGCAGGAAGGGTCAGGCAAGAAGAAGGAAGGAAGGAAGGAAGGAAGGAAGGAAGGGGTGAGGCCTTCTCCAAAGCAGCTCTTTGTTTTTGGAATCCCTTTCATAAAGTAGTGGGGGCAGATTTTCTTCCTCTATGCTTTTAAATCTCTAGTGTTATTTCCAATGCAGGATTAAGTGACGATAATGATGTTGCACACCAATCCAGAAAAATAGGTAAAGGGGATTATGGAAATGCTTCCCGTCATTAATTATACTTCATATATTTAAATAGTTTATGTTACTTTTATTTTTTTAAAGACTGAGTCAGAGTGATACATTCCACCAGCATCAAAATGCAGTAGATGCATGTACCTCCCCAGATTGGTGGGCTTTTGGGACAACGGACCTGTTGTCATGATACACAATATCTGTGGCTGGAGGCTCTACACATAGGATTGGGCATGGCCGAGGGTGGCCAGTTGTATAAGCAAATAGTGTAAACATGCCCGTCTTACAGTCAGGGGTTGTGTGTGAGAGTGGGTGAGTGGGATAATAATTTATAGCGCCCCTGTAATTGTGTTCATGTATAAGCTGACATGGAGATACTGTGGTACAACCTTGGTACAAATTTCAAATTAAGTGCACAAAACCAACAAAGAGACAGTGACTGCCAGCAACTAGGATAGCTTGAAAAAAAGGATTAGGCTGGTGTCTGTGCTCTGCCCTTGCGGTCCTAGGCAATAATGCTTCTTAATACTAGTTGCTGGAAAGCACAGGAGGGCAGAGGGCTCTTGGCCTGAAATCTTGCTTGCTGGTTTCCCCCAAGCATCTGCTTGGCCACTTTGAAAACAGGATGCTGGACTAGGTGGGCCTTTTCCCAATCCAGCAGGCTCTGTTTAGGTCCTAATATGTTGTAATATTTTTACACTTACATGTGGCATAAGAGCATTTCAGTTTTACTTCTTACTCATAGGAGAGACTTCTATTGGAGCCAGAGATCATTTCCTCACTTGAAAAAGAGAAAGACAGAGATGGTTCTTATAAACCAGCTCCACCGTAGATATCTACTATAAAATGATGGTGCTTTCTTAAGTGTGAATGGTGTGATCATGGGTTGCTCTTGCCATTATCTCATCTTTATTCCTAAAAATTTGGAACATGGAGACAGTGGACAATGGAGTGAAAATAAGAAAAGGTGCAAATGGGAATTCACATGTGTTCAGTTCCTTTCATGTCTTTCTTAAAAGTCTAACAGGATTCTCTCTCCCCCCTCCCCACTCCCAAACAGGTGAGGAAGATAACAGTCAGAATTCTACGGAGCCATCTGTGAAGTCATTGGGAAGAACAAAGAAACAGTTTAAATGCAGGGAATGTGGAATGTGCTATAGTCACTGTGGAAGAATGAGGATACACCAACGAACTCACACTGGGGAGAAACCATTTAAATGCATTGAATGTGGAAAGAGCTTCAGTCAAAGTGGAAACCTTCGAAAACACCAACAAACTCATACGGGGGAGAAACCATTTAAATGCATTGAATGTGGAAAGAGCTTCAGTCAAAGTGGAAACCTTAGAAAACACCAACAAACTCACACAAGGGAGAAACCATTTAAATGCATTGAATGTGGAAAGAGCTTCATTGAGAGTGGAACACTTAGAAGACATCAACGAACTCACACAGGGGAGAAACCATTTAAATGCACTGAATGTGGAAAGAGCTTCAGTGAAAGTAGAAACCGTAGAATACATCAACGAACTCACATGGGGGAGAAACCATTTAAATGTATGGAGTGTGGAAAGAGCTTCAGATGGAGTAGAGGCCTTAATATTTATAAGCAAATTCACCCAGGTGAAAAGCCGTATAAGTGTATTCAGTGTTCCACTCAAGGTTCACTCTTTACTTCACATAAAGAAACTCATTAAGGCGGAAATGAATTTTAAATGCATGGAACCCGTGTGATGTTCTGGTGGTTGGTATTTAAATTTGTATACACATATATATGTGTTAAAGTAATAAAGGTCAGATATACTAAATGTACAAAAGAAGGTGCTAGTTGTTGTTAGATAAACAGGGAGAGTGTGAATCCGGAATGCTCAAGGTGTGTGGTTAATCTGTTGAGTTTTGACCTCCGCCCTTCACTGCCAAAATGATGGGCTGCCCTTGTCTTGTGGATTAGCATCTGTCAGGCTTCAGGGAATTGGCTTCCTTCCCCCTTGGCCGTAGATAAGCAGAACAAAGGAAAAGGAGTCTTCTTACCAGTTAGAAACTTTAATGATCCCAGCAAGCGAATTCTATGGAGCCATCTGTGAATTCATTGGGAAGAACAAAGAAACAATTTAAATGCAGGGAATGTGGAGTGTGCTTTAGTCACTGTGGAAGAATACACCAACAAACTCACACAAAAGAGAAACCATTTGAATACATGGAGTGTGGAAAGAGCTACTGTTGTAGTCGAACACTTGGAATACAGCAACGAAATCAAACGAGGGAGAAACAGTTTAAATGTATTGAATGTGGAAAGAGTTTCAGTGAGAATGGAGCCCTTAGAATACATGAACGAAGTCACATGGGGGAGAAACCTTTTAAATGTACTGAATGTGGATAGAGCTTCAGTGAAAGTGGAACACTTAGAAGACATCAACAAACTCACACAGGGGAGAAACCATTTAAATGTATGGAGTGTGGAAAGAGCTTCAGACAGTGTGGAGACCTTAATATTCATGAGCGAATTCACACAGGTGAAAAGCCATAAATGTATGCCGTGTTCCACTCAAGGTGCACTCTTTACTTCACATCAAGAAACTCATAAAAGCGGAAATCAATTTTAAATGCATGGAACCCGTGTGATGTTCTGGTGTTTGTATTTAAATTTGAGCTTGCAGGGCAGCAGTTGAAGAAGGAGCAAAAAGGGTTTTCGTGTGTGTGTGTGTGTGTGTGTGTGTGTGTGCTTCTTTGTGGCTGATTAGCTGCTCTCCCTGTGCAAAGGTCAGAGGGGGCAGGGTTTCTGTTGAGGAAGGTGATTAGCTGTGGGAGGAGCTTATCAGAGCTTGCAGGGCAGCAGCGCGCGCCTAGTGGCACGCACAGTTTGATCCATCTTTTAGATTTAGGGGAGCTAGTCTCAAACGTTTGTTGGGGGAGACCTAGGTTTTTTTGTGGGCGGAGTTATTTGTCCTGTCTTCACGCTTTTTATGATGGAGGACCGCTGTAGCCACCCCCAATGACACGTTCTCAAGATGGAGGGGGAGGGAACAGCTGCAGTCGCCTGCGGTTCCTGCGCAATGTTTGCCATCTTACCAAAGGTTGCAGGCAGCTTTACCTGCAGCAATTGCATGTTGATTGCCCTCTTAAAAGACAAAGTCCAGCAACTGGAGGAACTTGTAGCTACGCTCCAAAGAATTAGAGAGCTGGAGCTCTTCTTCGAAGCAACAGAGCCCACCGTCTCCACCAAGGAGGAGACAGGGGACCCCCCTGAGAAGGAGGCTAGTTCACCAACACAGGAGCCAGATATATGGAGAAACATGACTCAAAGAAGTAGGAGGCCCAGGGTTCGCTCTGATTGTTTAGAAATACAGAATCGCTTTGAGGTCCTCTCCCCTAGCATGGAAGATGAAGAGCAGACTCCATTTGAGGATCTCTCCCTCATTACAGTCGATCAGGTATATGAAGACGAGCAGCAAAGTCAGTCCTCAGGGAATGTGCAGGTGACCTTGGAACGGACAGCTCATGGAAGAACCCCGACCAATCCTAAGGTGTGTAGTGGTGATAGGGGATTCCCTACTGAGGGGAACAGAAGCAGTGATCTGTAGGCCTGACAAGATGTCTCGGGAAGTGTGCTGTCTCCCCGGGGCTAAGATCCAAGATGTAACTGAAAAACTGCAAGGAATCATAAAACCCACTGACAAATACCCCTTCCTCTTGGTTCATGTGGGAGCCAATGACACTGCAAGCAATAGCCTCCAGAAGATCAAAAGAGACTACGAGGCTCTGGGCAGGAAATTGAAGCAATTAAATGCACAAATTGTCATCTCATCTGTCCTCCCAGTTGAACGACGTGGCCCAGGGAGAGGGGAAAGATAGTGGAAGTGAACAGCTGGCTTTGCAAATGGTGTAAACAGGAACGGTTTGGATTCTTAGATCACGGACTGCAGTTTCTTGAAGATGGACTTCTGGCAAGCGATGGGCTGCACCTCACAACGGTTGGGAGAAATGTTTTTGCCAAAAATCTCAGAAACCTCATCAGGAGGGCTTTAAACTGACTAATGTGGGGGAAGGAGACAGTGCTCCTGAAGGTAGGAGTCTATTAATTGATGAAGATGATCATCCAAATGTCATAGACCAAATGGAGCAAACAGCACGCAGACCTAGTGGTGGGAGGAAAACCTTAAATAAGAGACACGGGGGAATGATTAATGGACTTCAATGTCTGTACACTAATGCGCAAAGCATGGGAAATAAACAAGATGAGCTTGAGCTCTTGGTACAGCAAACAAAATATGACATAATAGGCTTCACTGAAACCTGGTGGGATAAGTCCCACGATTGGAATGTAATAATGGGGGGATACAATCTATTTCAGAGAAACAGACCAGACAAGAAAGGAGGAGGAGTGGCGTTATATGTCAGGGATGTGTATACCTGTGAAGAGATCCAAGATTTAGAACCTCAAAGCCAAAGTGAGAGCATTTGGGTCAAAATTAAGGGAGAGAAGAATAACAGTGACCTCATTGTGGGAGTTTACTATAGATCCCCAAGCCAAACGGAGGACATAGATGATGCCTTCCTGGAACAGATGGCCAAGCATGCAAAAGGAAGGGAGATAGTAGTAATGGGAGACTTCAATTACCCGGATATTTGTTGGATGTCAAACTCAGCCAAGAGCATAAGGTCAAACAGATTCCTCACTGGCCTTGCAGACAACTTCATTGTCCAGAAAGTGGGAGAAGCAACAAGAGGAACAGCCATTTTAGATCTGGTCCTAACCAATGTTGATGACCTGGTTAGTGGGGTAGAAGTGGAAGGATCATTAGGCGCGAGTGATCATGCTCTTCTGAAGTTTACTATACAGCGGAAAGGAGTAGCCAAGCATACTAGGACTCAATTTCTTGACTTTAAGAAAGCTGACTTCATAAAACTTAGGGAGGTGCTGGGTGAGATCCCATGGACAGTAATACTAAAAGGAAAGGGAGTTCATGATGGCTGGGAGTTTAAGAGGGAGATAGTAAAAGCACAACGTCAGGCAATACCAATGAGACGGAAACATGGAAGGTGCCTAAAGAAGCCAGGGTGGCTATCTAAAGAACTTTTAACTCAGTTAAGATTAAAAAAAGGATGTGTACAAAAAATGGAAAAGGGGGGAAACCACCAAAGAGGAATTCAAACAAATAGCCAGCACGTGTAGACACAAAGTCAGAAAAGCTAAAGCACAGAATGAACTCAGGCTTGCTAGAGAGGTTAAAAGCAACAAAAAAGGCTTTTATGGGTATGTCCGTAGCAAAAGGAAGAACAAAGAAACAGTGGGGTCACTCAGAGGAGAAGATGGTGAAATGCAAACAGGGGACACAGAAAGTGCTGAACTCCTCAATGCCTTCTTTGCCTCAGTCTTCTCCGATAAAGAAAACAATGCCTGACCTGAAGAATTTGGAGCAAATGATTCAGCAAAGGAAACACAGCCCAGAATAACTAAGGAGATAGTACAAGAAGAATACTTGGCAAGTTTAGATGTATTCAAGTCTCCAGGGCCAGATGAACTGCATCCAAGAGTATTAAAAGAACTGGCAGATGTGATATCAGAACCACTGGCAGTCATCTTTGAGAATTGCTGGAGAACAGGCGAAGTCCCGGCAGACTGGAGGAGGGCAAATGTTGTCCCTATTTTCAAAAAGGGGAAAAGAGAGGACCCAAATAATTACCGCCCAGTCAGTCTGACATCAATACCAGGGAAGATTCTGGAGCAGATCATTAAGCAAACAGTCTGCGAGCACCTAGAAAGGAATGCTGTGATCACCAATAGTCAGCATGGATTTCTGAAAAATAAGTCATGTCAGACTAACCTGATCTCGTTTTTGACAGAATTACAAGCCTGGTAGATGAAGGGAATGCAGTGGATGTAGCCTACCTTGATTTCAGCAAGGCATTTGACAAGGTGCCCCATGATATTCTTGTAAAGAAGCTGGTAAAATGCGGTCTTGACTATGCTACCACTCAGTGGATTTGTAACTGGCTGACTGACCAAACCCAAAGGGTGCTCATCAATGGTTCCTCTTCCTCCTGGAGAAGCGTGACTAGTGGGGTGCCACAGGGTTCTGTCTTGGGCCCGGTCTTATTCAACATCTTTATCAACGACTTGGATGATGGACTCAAGGGCATCCTGATCAAATTTGCAGATGACACCAAACTGGGAGGGGTGGCTAACACCCCAGAGGACAGGATCACACTTCAAAACGACCTTGACAGATTAGAGAACTGGGCCAAAACAAACAAGATGAATTTTAACAGGGAGAAATGTAAAGTATTGCACTTGGGCAAAAAAAATGAGAGGCACAAATACAAGATGGGGACACCTGGCTTGAGAGCAGTACATGTGAAAAGGATCTAGGAGTCTTGGTTGACCACAAACTTGACATGAGCCAACAGTGTGACGCGGCAGCTAAAAAAGCCAATGCAATTCTGGGCTGCATCAATAGGAGTATAGCATCTAGATCAAGGGAAGTAATAGTGCCACTGTATTCTGCTGTGGTCAGACCTCACCTGGAGTACTGTGTCCAGTTCTGGGCACCACAGTTCAAGAAGGACACTGACAAACTGGAACGTGTCCAGAGGAGGGCAACCAAAATGGTCAAAGGCCTGGAAACGATGCCTTATGAGGAACGGCTAAGGGAGCTGGGCATGTTTAGCCTGGAGAAGAGGAGGTTAAGGGGTGATATGATAGCCATGTTCAAATATATAAAAGGATGTCACATAGAGGAGGGAGAAAGGTTGTTTTCTGCTGCTCCAGAGAAGCGGACACGGAGCAATGGATCCAAACTACAAGAAAGAAGATTCCACCTAAACATTAGGAAGAACTTCCTGACAGTAAGAGCTGTTCGACAGTGGAATTTGCTGCCAAGGAGTGTGGTGGAGTCTCCTTCTTTGGAGGTCTTTAAGCAGAGGCTTGACAACCGCATGTCAGGAGTGCTCTGATGGTGTTTCCTGCTTGGCAGGCGGTTGGACTCGATGGCCCTTGTGGTCTCTTCCAACTCTATGATTCTATGATTGTACACACATATATATATGTATTAAAGTAATGAAGGTCACATATACTATATGTACAAAAGAAGTTGCAAGTTGTTGCTAGATAAACGGGGAGAGTGTGAATCTGGAATGCTCAAGGTGTGTGATAAATCTGTTGAGTTTTGACCTCCGCCCTTCACTGCCAAAATGATGGGTTGCCCTTGTCTTGTGGATCAGCATCTGTTAGGCTGCAGGGAATTGGCTTCCTTCCCCCTTGGCCGTAGATAAGCAGAACAAAGGAAAAGGAGTCTTCTTACCAGTTAGAAACTTTAATGATTCCAGCGAGAGAACAAAGAACCCGTCTTCACACGAATGGCAGTGCTCCCAATGAAGAAGTCCACCCCCTCACATCCCTAGTCACCCATGTCACTTCTGCATCTTGTAACCTGGGCTCGTACCCTCTGTGCTTTCTGTCCTGCCACTTTTGCAGCTGTCCCTGACCTTGGGGAAAGCGGATGGATGCTTTCCAGAGACAGTGAATCTGTTAACTCTCCCCCCGCTCCGGAGTTTCTTCTGCAAGCTGTTCCCCATCCAGTATTTCCCAGCTTCTGCCTTCTGAACTATGTTCCTCTGCAAACCACTGTTCCAAATCTATACAGTCCTGCTCCTAGGAAGATTAAGAGGGATTGGGAGGCTCCCACCATTGTGCCTCAGTGCAGCTCTCCTCAGCACAATCCCTGGAGACTGCGGTTAGGTTTTGGTTTAGGGGAGAAAGCGTGGGCCTGGGTCTAGGCCGGGGGTGGGGGAGAATAAAGGTAGAGATTTACAAGGGATGCTTCTTTTTCTGCGCAAGGCTGGTTCTTGTTTCTCCTGAGTACACACCTGTAATCAGTGTGTGTGCTTTTAGCAGGAGAGCGCCCCTTTGTCTCAGAGCGTAAGATGCTTCAGGAGGCATTAGAGCGAAGCGCCTGTATGATACATGTGCCATGAGAGCAATGGTGGGGGGAATGTAAATACCTGTCGGGGTGCTTAAAAGGAGGCTGTTGTTTCATGAGAGGGGGCGGGGGGAGGAGAGCCTTAGCAACGCCGAACAGAAAGAGCCAAGCGTGCTTATAGGATACATGTGGTTGCTACTCTGACTTTGAAGCTGGGCAGTGGAAGTGGCACATGCTTCTGCCAAAAGCAGGTCTGGGGTAGGGAAGATTAAGTTAATTGCAACCTTGAACTATGGTTACCAGACGTCCCCATTTCCCGGAGAAAGTCCCCGGATTTACAAATCTGTCCCCGGACAAAATCCGCCCCTGGAATGTCCCTGGATATCAATTAATGTCCCCGGGTTTATATTTTAAGTGTTGTACATTTATTAGTAGGGAATGAATGTTGCATGATTGTTTCAACGGCACAAGACACATCATATGGGGACTTCTGGCGAGACAAAATAGTGGGCGCCATGACAGCAGCAGCTCCTGAAGCCAGCCAGAGTCAACTGCGCTACCAGGCTGGCTGCAGGGTCCTGAGACTGCCGCTGACGCTTCCACTGCTGAGGAGGAACTGGGGGAACCACTGACACCCCCCCACGACCCAAATCGAGCCAGGAGCGAGAGCACCTGGCCAAGTGCCCAGCAGCACTCTGGGGCCAGGAAAACCCTGGAGACAAGGCAGGGAGAAGAAGGAGAAGGAAGAGAGAGAAAGAGGAAGGAGAAAAAAGAGGGGAGCCCCAACCTTGTCATGCCACTGCTGCCGCTGAGGAGCAGAGGGAGGAGAGCACTGGGAGGGCAAGGACACGTGACCGAACCCAGGCCCGACCTGAGCCTACTCCACTCCAAGAAAGCAGGCCAGGGCCCAGAGGAAGGCTGCACGACAGAGGAGACCACAGAAGAGATTACTTCTTAATTTTTCTTTAAAAATAGCGTTTTAAAAATAACTTTTTTTCTCTTTTTTTAAAAAAACGTGTCCCCAGATTGCTACTCTGACTTTGAAGCTGGGCACTGGAAGTGGCACATGCTTCTGCTAAAAGCAGATCTAGGGAAGATTAAGTTAATTGCAACCTTAAACACACTTGGGTCCCATTAGAGAGGATTCTCATGAGGCCGGAGGAACATCGCCCGGCTGAGAGGCATGAAGGCCACTCCCTGCAAGGCCTTTCCCACCTGGCCTTGGGGGCGGGGCCCAGACTCACCCAGCCCTACTATGTTAAATTTGTATTCTGTAGTTGACCTCCTTTGTAATGTTTTACTTTGAAATCTTTTAAGGTAATATTTTAGTTTTCTGTTATATTGCTTTGACAGTATACTCTATACAGTAGTAAGTTGGGATAAAAACACCTCGGGTGACAAACACTTCAGGTTACAAACTCCACTAACCTGGAGCTAGTACCTCGGGTTGAGAACTTTACCTCAGGATGAGATCGGAAATTGCACGGCGGCAGCGGGAGGCCCCATTAGCTAAAGTGGTACTTCAAGTTAAGAACAGTTTCAGGTTAAGAATGGACCTCCAGAACCAATTAAGTTCTTAACCCGAGGCACCACTATATTTCACTCTTTTCAAATTGTTTTATTTATGTTTTATTGATTTAATATGCTGTAAACCGTTTTAAGGTTTTTCTTAAAAATATAAAGCGGTATAGAAATGAAATAAATAACAATAAAGTATAGAGCAGGGATATCCAACATGGGGTTGCTCACACGTTGGGCAACAACTCTTATAAGCCTCAGCCCGTACGGCCAAGGTTGATGGGAGTTGTATTTCAAAAGCTCAGGGGTTTAAAATCTCATGTTTCTTACAACTTGTCATCATGAATAATTTTAGGTAAAACTTTTGTTGATACAGAACTCATTTTTAGCTTCCAGGAGCAGCTGGTCACTTCTGCTTTATAAACAAACCCAAATATATTGAAACACTTTACATTAAAACCAAATTTCAGAACAGATACAAACATAATTTTTTTAAAAAAAACACACACCCTTTTTTTTAACTTACAAACCATTATCTTCTCAATCCAAGATTTGCTTTTCATGTGAATGAATGAATGAATTTATTAATACGGTCACAGACCAGCGTCAACACACACAATATCACAGATCATAAAAAAAAAAAAAATCAGAAATACAGAGGACAATATGAGTATAACAAGGATTTAAATATAAAAAATTAAAATTAATTATTAACGTGCCCCCTGTTATTAACATTTGGGGGTTTGGTCATTATGGGATACCACTTGCTTCCTGCGATAAATTGCAGACGCACAGAATTTGGCTACATTTAATGTAGTCTTGGGATTCTTGTCCTCTAGCAGTAGTTTTAAACTATGGTGTTCCGATTCTTTCCTGGACTTTTGCAAAACAGGTGTAATAAAAGTCAAACGTATATCCTCATAAAGACGGCGACGTAATAGTACATGTGAAGCAGTTTCAACTTCCAACGAGCCACAGGGGCAAACCCGTGCTGTGTATGGTTTACCCTCAAATCTGCCCTGAAGTAAGGCAGAAGGGAGAACGTTGAATCTGGCGAGGGTAAAAGACCGTCTGTATTTGGGTACCTGAAGACCTGACAGATAGTTAGCTGGAGAGAAACCTCTCCCATGGTCCCTTATTGCTGGATGTTTGATCATTTCGCTCATGTGGCATTGTAATTCTACGTCCCAGATACGCTGGCGAATTGTAGTCCTAGCTTTCTCGAAGCCTGTCGCTATCAGGGTCTGCTGTGGGATCCCCAAGTCTTTAAGCTTTTCCAGCAGTGTAGCTTTCCATTTGGATTGGTAGGTATCTAATAAGGTTAAAGGTGCCAGCCCAACCGGGAAGAAAATAAGCTTTAGCCAATAATGGATCTTCAATATCCATATCCGAGTACTGATAGCAATCTGCCCAACCTCCAAACGGACCGCTATGTTGGATACGCAAGAGGGGATCCCCAGCAGGCAGCGGAAAAACTTAGTTTGAAATGCCTCTAAGAGAGTAAGGTTTTTAAAGCTGCAGATCTGGGATCCATATAGTAATTGTGATAGTATTTTGGCAGCAAAGACCTGGGAGGCTGCCGGTATGTATTGGCCCCCTTTCCCATAGAAGAATCTTATTAACGCTTTGGTAGATCTTTCTGCATTTGCAATAGTATTATTAATCTGAAAGCGCCAGGAGCCCCTTTCCTGGAAGGTTACACCCAGGTATTTAAAGGTTGCTACCTGTTCTATTAAGCGATTGTCTATTCTCCATTTGTGCCTCCTCCTTTTTTTAGAGAACACCATGACTTTGGATTTGTTGTAGTTAATTGTTAATTGTTCGATGCTGCAGTATTTGGTGAAAGATCTCAAAAGTTTTCTTAATCCAACACAGGAAAAAGAAATTAAAACTGTGTCATCCGCATATAAAAGGATCGGGAGGGGCGTACCAGCCAATTTGGGGGGATGGGCATTTTCTTTCTCCATATTTCCTAGTAGCGAGTTGATATAGAAGTTAAATAAAGTAGGCGCAAGGACACACCCTTGCCTGACCCCCTGATGGATTTGGATTTCCTTGGATAGGTGGCCCTGTCGGTCACACCTTACCCGGATCCGTGTATTTTCATATAGACTGTGGATGAGATACAGTAGGCGTTTGTTTATATTTGCGGCGCTTAGCTTTCCCCAAAGCCTGTCCCTTGGTATTAAATCAAAAGCAGTTTTGAAATCTATAAAGGCCACGTATAGGGAACCTCCTTTTCTTGATGTATATTTCTCCGCAAGATGTTGGAGAACAAGGCCCTGGTCTAAGGTTGACCGATTTGCCCTAAAACCAGCCTGTGCTTCTGAAAGAATGTGGTCTTGTTCCAACCAGTCCACTAATTTGCCGCATAGGTGGGCAGCGTACAATTTGCTAATGATACTTAGGAGGCTGATTGGCCTGTAATTAGCCAGATCTGATCGGCTCCCTTTCTTGAATAAAGAGATGATGATTGCTAATCCCCAGTCCTCAGGGATAGTGGCCGATTGGTCTATGCTGGTAAATAGGGCAGCTAACACAGGGGCCCACCATTCAACATTAGCCTTAAGGAGTTCCGGTGTAATGTTGTCTACGCCGGGTGCTTTTCCAGGTTTAAGGGATTGGATGAGCCTATAGATCTCTTCAGTTGCTACTGGGGGCCATTCGGCGCCAATATCACTCGGAGCTGGGGGCAGGGCCTGCAGATGTTGATTTGATGTATATAAAGATAGAAAGTAAGCCTCCCAAATCCCAACTGGTATAGTATAATAAATTTCAATCGGGGAGTCTTGCCAACTTTTCACGACTATTTTCCAAAAGGTGGCTGAGTCTTTCCTTCGAGAGGCCTCTAATAAACGTTGCCACTCCCCCCTTTGGGCCTGAAGCTTTTTCTTTTTAATCAGATCTTTATATTTACGTTTGGCTTCGAACCATTCCGCGGGAAGCAAGGGTAGGTTCGCTGATTTGTAATTCCTGTACTTATCCAGCAAAGAACGCTTTGTAGCAATACATTCCTGATCAAACCAGGGTTTGGATTTGTTGGGGAATATAGGTTGGCGCGATGTCTTTTTTTGAATCAGGTGGGGTTGCAAAAGTGAGATCAGATCCTGAAACAAGATTATTCTAGATTCAGAACATGGTGGGTTTAAGAGATTATCTCTTCTCATGAGGAATATGTCCGAGTATAGCCTTTCAGATGTTTCGGCATTCAGCTTTGCGGACCATCTAATAAGTGAGTATCTCAACTCCATGTTGGAGGACCTGGGGGCTTCAAGTTTATCGTTGCAAAATAAGGCTTTTCTTGCATCCAGGAGGAGGCAGAGCGGTAAATGATCACTATCAACCCTCTCCTCCACTTTGCACTCAAGGGCTCTATTTAGGAGATTAAATGATACCATAACATAGTTGATAGTGGAAGCTCCTGCATTTGATGTGTATAAAAATACTTTGTTACCAAGGGGGTACAGAAAAAAAAGTTACAATAAAAGCATTATCAGCATTTAAAAAGAAATGCTAGTGGATGTTCAAGGCATTGAGTTACAAATGAAGGCAAAGATCAACCATTGCTAGGTAGAGCCTGGAGACATAATCCTAGAATCAACCCCTGCCCCCCCCAGCCCGCTTTTGCCTGTAAATGTATTTGATTCAAAGATCATATAAATCATATTTTTTGACATTAATTCTGATGGGTGGGGGTGAGTTAAAAGTCACCCACCACATGGAGATATATTTGGGTTTGAGAGGCAGGTGGTCCACTGCTGGACGGCCATCTTGACCAGAATCTTTCTCAAGGCCTTGTCTTCTTCAGCCCAGGTAGGCCTTGGAATTAAGAATGCTTTGGAACTGAATTGATGCGACAGAAGCAAGAGGATGGGCAATGAATTCTGATGGCTTGCTTGGAACAGAAATGTATTTGGAAGACACTGTGCTGAAGAGGTATATTTGCAAAAAGCAAAAAAACCTCACAGCCCACTCCACAAATTATCTAGGCTGCTACCTCTTTAAAATAGTTCTTGCTTGTGAATCAAAGTTAAAAATCCTATACAGTGGTACCTCGGAAGACGAATGCCTCACAAGACAAAAAACTTGCTAGACGAAAGGGTTTTTGGTTTTTTGAGCTGCTTCGCAAGACGATTTTCCCTATGGGCTTACATCGCAAGACGGAAACGTCTTGCAAGTTTGTTTCCTTTTTCTTAACACCGTTAGTACAGTTGCGACTTGACTTCGAGGAGCAACTCATAGAACGCGGTGTGGTAGCCTTTTTTGAGGTTTTTAAAGACTTTGGTGGTTTTTGAAGCTTTTCCAAAACTTTCCCGACACCGTGCTTCGCAAGACGAAAAAAATCGCAAGACGACAAAACTCGCGGAACGAATTAATTTCGTCTTGCGAGGCACCACTGTACTTTAAAAATCACTTGGGCAGAAGTTCTGTAGCAAAAAATGAATGGCAAAACCCAGTTCTAATGCTTTGCTATTATAATTAATTTCAGCTGAGGCATCTGCTATGCTTTTTAACAGCTGCAGAATCCCAGTCAGGTGTGCCTGGTGCCCTCTAGGGCAGGAAGGCCAGCAGCAGAGTCCATGACAGACAGAGTCATGACTGGTTGTAAGTAAAGCCAGCTAGCAGGTGGGGAATGGCTGGGGGCAGACTGAGGTTACTGGGGCAGTGCCCCACTGATTCCACAGGGCCCAGCTTTCCCAGAGATGGGGAACATTTTGTCTGTTGACCTACATGCCTGCTGTCTGCAGTTGTAAATCGTAAAAAAGCCTCCCACAAACAACAACAACCTGACCACCTCATGTTGATGGCAGCTGAAGTCCACCAACTTCTGGAGGGCCATAGGCTTTCCCCAACCCCTGCTCTAGCGACTTCCCTCCAAGGAACTTGGGGTTGAATTCTGCCATCTTTGGAGTTCCACCTCTTTCCTCAAGGATTCCAACCTACTGGGCCATGTGGCTCAACCTGGCATCACCATATAGAACTCCTTATATGTGTTTTAAGAGTTGTAGCAAAGTAGGCCTGCTGGAAACCAGAACTCTTAGGTCCCATTTATAGACCACTCAAGTCCCGAGTGCATAAAAGCAAAAGGAGATATAAGGCACATTTCATCGTTCAGTGCTTAGCATGGAAGAGTGCAAGGTACCAGGCTCTCAGGCCCCAACATACTAGGACACCAGCACCCACATATAAAATTGGGGCCACACTGGTTCAGTTCCCCCCCAAGGACGGAGGGGCCATTCTTGTCCAGCTGAGCTTGCAGGTAGAGGTAGTCCTGCTGGTCGAGGTTGTGGGCACAGGTGATGTAGGCCATGAAGAGCAACACGAGGAGCAGGCGTTCAAGGGAGAGGCAGGGAACGGCCCACAGGATGAGGAGAAACCTCCGGTACACAGGGTGGCAAAGGTAGGAGAAGAGGTGGACAGCACGCATGGACTTCACAGCCAAAGGGTCCCCCATGCCCAGGCAGTGGTAGTAAACCTGTGGAATGAAAGAAACACCCGTTTCCATTGCAGACACACAAATCTTTTGAGGAAATGACACCATTTTAGACCTGCGTCCACATCAGGCATCTACATATTCACAAAGGGGGAATGTGAGATCTGTTTACGTTTTGTTATCTGGACTGCTGAGAAAACATTTAATTGCTTCTGCGGTCACTACCTTGGCCAAAAATCCGTCAGAATTCTAGAGATGGAAAAAAGATAAAGTCCCTACCAAGGAGGAATAACAGATTAAACTGTTGGACTATGCCGAAATGGCAAAACTGACTGGAAATTTCAGAAACCAAGAAGACCAGAACTTTGTTAAAGTGGTCTCCAAAATAAATTATAAATTTTCCCCATCCTTTGTTAGATGGGGAAAGTTTATAATTTATCTTGGAGACCACTTTAAACAGACGAAAACACTAGCAGGATTGCAATAACACTCGTAATGTAGCAGGTACTGTGGAGATAATGGACTTATATAAAATAGGGACTATTGAAAAAGGTGCAGTAGAAAAGGTTTAATAATAAGACCCACGGAGGGGAAGATGGGAAGTCCAGAGATTCTGAGGAATCTCCAAATGTGGATGTTATGTGTATTGTTATGATCTTATAGTTTTAAAATCAAATAAATATCATTATTATTATTATTAAAAATCCCTCAGAATTCATCCAAATCCAATGCACCCCTCTAACTGCTATCACTGTAAAGCCAGAGCACATTAAGAGCTTCCAAGAGAGAGGTCATGGCTTCCAAATTTGCTTCATCCCTGGGACCTCTCTTTTTAGAAATATTTTACAGCAGGAGGAAATATCTTATATCACCCTCATTGGCTGGTTAATTGGGCCTCGCTGAGCTCAGCCGCCAAATACAGGACGGTGGCCTCTCTAGATGGGAAAAGGGAAGCTGCGCGGTACCTGTTTGACCCCCATCAGCTCTGCGTAGTCAAAGATGAGGAGGATGCTAAAGATGACCAGCCAAGCAATGAAGTGGAGGATGAAGCAGATGAGAGGGACCCAAGTGACCCACGGCTCCCTGCTCGTATTCCAGAGCACAGGAGCATCCTGCACAGGCTGCCAGTACCTCATCAGCAGCTAGGTGGGAAGGAAAAGGCACGTTAGATAAAAGTGGATTCTCCTGCAGGCACACGTCTAATGTGGCTGCATTTTGGGACTCCAAAACTGCAATCACATTGTAGAAAATCTGCTGGACATGCAGACATTAGCCAAATCATACAAATCATATCCACACTGGGTTGTTGTTGTTTTTAAATTGTGCAAGATTCTAGTCCACATCATTGCAATGATGCATTTTGCTTCACAACATAATGAAGGCTATGCTGAGTTAACGATGTGAGTTTGGGAGCTCTGTGCTCAAAATAAACTGTACCAAGGAGCAAAGACTTAATGCTGAAACTGGGGGATTTGCTTTGGAAATATCACTTCCATGAAAGTGCAGAGTATGAAATCCGAACAGCATCATGCCAGGAAGATTGATTCTGCATTCCGAGCTTAGCTTTTCTGACTTGGGCAAGAATTCACTCTGAGTTGCTCTGTTACCTTGCCTGTGGGACTTCTTCCTCCTCTTCAGTGCTCTCCCCCCATTTTGGTGCCCCAAACTGATACGCCTACCTGGAGAGTCAGCGCTGTGCAGAAGACATAGAAAGATCTCTGTAACAACTTCTGGTCCAGTGTTTGACTTGCTGAGCGGCCATGAGGCTGTGCTGCAAGATGAAGAGGACAATTAAGCCCACGTCCACCATTAGTGGCCGCAGAATCTTGGGATCCCTCAGGGCAGCTTCCCATTGAAGATGAGCAGCATCTGCAAAGAAAAGAGGTTTGCTCAAGGTTTGCCTAGTGCATCCAGCAGGGGGCTGGCAGAGGATCTCAGATAGTAGCCCAGAAACTGATCCCAGAGACAATTTGTTCTCTCTCTCCTTCTCTCTCTCATCATCTTAAAACAATCCTTCCACAAGTTGGTGTTCTCTGGATAGCTCAGTTAGTTAGAGTGTGGTGCCGATAGTGCGCAGGTTGCAGGTTTGATCGCCGTGAGGGACAGATCTCCCAGAGATATCATACGCAGAGAGAACTTGGGGAATTGTAACTCTTTGAGAGAAATAAGGGTTTTAAGGGTTGCTATGTGTCCTCTTTTTTGAGGGGTAAAATTTCTGTCCCAGTGGATAAATTTGCTAAAATCTCTCTGGCTATACTTTCTGGCTGAGATAACTGGTGGTTGAAGACTTGCTGTCCTCTTCTCTTCTCCTGCCCGTCCCCCAAAAATACATCACAGCTTCGATAGCCTACATATAGTAGAGGTATTAAAATGAGAGTCATCATAAGCACCGTCTTTATTTGCTCTTCAAAATGCAGCAACTCTATCCAACAGCTCCAAGCAACCTTAACGAACTACAGCTCCCAGAATTCTTTGGGGGAAGCCATGACTGTTTAAAGTGGTATAGTCCCCTTGAAGGACAGAGAGATACCTCAGCTTTCTAAATCTTGGTTGCCAACCTCATCTCTGGTGCCAAGCCAGGTCTAGAGGTGTGAGGCTGCATGTCTGCTGCCACAACTGATTCCTGTATAAAACATACACCACGGTTGGGATGAAACGGCACTCTTTGCACTTCCCTGGTTTGCACATGATGTTAATGTGTTTGCACATGATGTTAATGTGCCAAGGGTGGAGAACTTCAGACCCGGGGGGCCAAATGCACATGTGGTCTGTGGTCCTCTGAATTCACTGCTCTGAATCCATGGCTCTGCTTCGCCCCTTAGCCAGCCGGGATGTACCTTTCAACTCTTGACAATGCCTCCTCCCTCCTTGGTAGAGGGCAGATAGTTGTGTGTGTATCAGATATAACTTCCTCTAGAAAGGCAAAAGTTGCGATCCTTGTTTGACCCACCTTTGCCTCTCTCACCCTGACCAGCCTTGGCATGTGGCCCCTGGAAGTTGATCCAGGAGGGAATCTGGCCCTTGGTCTGAAAAACAGTGGAAGCTTCCAAACTGACAGTTGCGCAAGAGAATGCAAACCTAAGGCCTGCCCACATCCCACTGAACTATGCTAGGCTATGACTTCTGTCATTCCTGGCCATTGGCCACGCCAGTGGGGGCTAATAGGAGTTGGAGTTAAGGAATGGTTGAGGGAACTATGGATATAGTATGAAAAAATAAAGACGTTTAGAGAGATGTTATCACAGCTGTAGGGCATGTGCACATTTCCCTTCCCTTTGATGGGATCTCAGCACTCAAGATGCTGTTTAGATTTGTTTATCACCCATCACCCCCCTCCCCTTTGCTAGTGGATTCATTGCTACAGAGTTTTTGTGTATATGGTTGCATACAGGTACTACTGGCAGTGTTGATTGTCTTCCCCCCCAATTCCCCCCATGCAATTATGGAGCTTTTTTTTAAAAAAGAAAAAGGGGTCTTTTTTCCGGGGTACTCAAGGTTATGCAGTACCGGAACCTCTTTTCTCCAAACTGCTCAAATTCTGACACTTGCTGTAACAATTTTATGGCATATTTGCTTTAAAAAGAAAGCACTGAAAATCGGGTTGCTTTTTAAATTTATCGCTTTATTTGTCACGATTGAAAGCAAAGCAAAGAATGTCCCCTCTCTCCTTACAAATTAAAACTGTCTTCCACTTTTGCTCAGTATTTCCCTCGAAGAATATTGCTTTCACATCCGTAGCGTACATTTGGCAGGCATCTAAAGTACATGGTCCCCACCCCCCCAAGATTCATGGGAGTGGTCAAATGGGAGGTATTCTTTGACAGGGCGTCTGTCTTGCTGCTGCTGCTGCATGTCACTGTTCCCTGTTTCTGTGTGTCTGTGAGGAGAATACAGGACACTGCAAAAGACACATGGTGTTATGAAGGTGCAATAAGCCAGACAGAGAGTGGTCCCTCCCTATAATGTAAATAGAGAGACTTCTTTTCAGGAGATTTCTGTATAAAGAACACTTTGCTGAGGTGGAAGTGGGGACTAAGTGAGGTTGGAGTGGAACCATGTTTGCATGAACATGAGAATGTAAAATATGCTCTCCATTGAAATATTTATTAAAATAATTTATTCATTTACCCAGAAGAGTTATTAGGCTTTTTTTGTTGTAAGCTGCTTCCTACATTGTAAGAAGTGTGTCATGAGACCCTTGATCCCTCCTCGAAATACAATCTGAACCAAATGGGTGAGGCAGTAAAGAGTTTCTTGATTACAATACGTTCTTGCAAGAGGACAAGGTCCACAGTAGCTGATGTTCCCTATACTCGGAGCACAGGTTCCCTCCCTCGTCTCCCCATTGGCTGGGTCCTGCAAGGTTTTCCTTCCCCCAGTTATCAAAGGAAAGGAAAGAGGCTGGGGGGGGGGGGGGGAGGAACTTCTCCTTCCTCGCCAGAGTCACCTGACTTCCGGCTTCATCAGCGGAGATAAAATCGAGGCTTGCAAAGGAGGGAGGGAAGGGGGCTGCTTCGTCCTAATTAAACCTCCTAATTAAGCGGGGTCCCTCCCTGCCTCCCAGGCGGGGGCTCCCATTCCCGCCCCCGCTGCCCAGGGTCGCTGCATCCGCTGCCGCCGCTGCCAGGATTTCGGGTGAGTGTAAAGCCAGCGGCGGGGAAGGAGGGAAGGGGCTTTGCAAGGGATGGGGGTCCAGGATGAGAAGCCACGGCACGGAGAGAAAAGAGAAGGGAGGAAAGGGAGCTGCTCTTTTTAATGGGGGCCTTGAAGGTGGATGGGGGGGGTTCCGCTGTGGAAAGAGAGAAGCTTCCTCCTGCACGGATCTGGTGCAAAGGGAGTTGCAGGGAAGGAGGCGGGAAAGGGGAGACGTTGGGTATTGCTGCGCAGGTTAATAATAATAATAATAATAATAATAATATTAATAGTACCTGCCCATCTGGCTGGGTTTCCAGTGCGGCTTACAACATAGATAAACCATAATAAAACATCAAACGTTAAAAACTTCCCAATACAGGGCTGCCTCCAGATGTCTTCTAAAAGTCAGATAGTTGTTTATTTATTTGAAATTGGAAGGGAAGGCATTCCACAGGGAGGGTGCCACCACCGAGAAGGCCCTCTGCCAGGTTCCCTGTAACTTCGCTTCTTGCAGGGAGGGAACAGGCAGAAGACCCTCAGAAGTGAACCTCAGTGTCCTTCCTTCCTTCCTTCCTTCTCTTTAGGCACCCGGCGAAAGCATTCCTGTTCTCCCAGGCATTGGGCTCATTAAACAATCTATGGCCTTCACACCTGCATTTGTGGGTGTGTAAGGGGGTGGTTGTCGTTTTTATTTCTTACTGTGCTGTTCAACTCTGATTTTCTATTGTAAGCTGCCCTGTGATCTTCGGAGGAAGGGCAGTATAGAAATGTAAAGAATAGCAGTAAAAATAGGAAGCCCTGTTGTGTTCAAGGGGGTGGTTGGGACAGAGTCTCTGATTAGTATGCATAGCAGGTCAGGCTAAGGAGGGAATAATAATAATAATAATAATAATAATAATAATAATAATAACTTGCACCCTGCCCACCTGACTGGGTTCCTCGACCACTCTGGGCGGCTTCCTTTTTTAAAAAAAATAATAATATTTATTAGTAGTTTCAGAATTATAAGAAGAAAACAAAAAGAAACATTAAAAAACAACATTATAATACATAAAAAGAAAAGAAAAAACACAAAAACCAATACAACAAAAAGATAAAAAGAAAAAAGAAAACAACACAGATCCCAAATTACATATCTAAAACTTCCATTTGCTTGTTTCATTGACTTCCTCACACCTCCCTTTTTGTATTCTAGTTTAATTAGTTATTTCAGCAAATTCTTTCCATCTTTCTCAATTTTTGTTAAAAAAATTATCCTAACCTAATTTAACCTAATAATTAGCTCAACAAATCCTTTCCATCTTTCCCCATATTCTATTATTCAGATTACCTTAATTTATTTAACCTTATCTTACCCTAAAATACCTTAAAGCTTGAATCTTAGTTATCAAATATACATTACTCCTGATATCATTTCCGCTAAAGTCATATAGTTTCATTCCAACATTTTCCCTAATATTCATTAATTTTTAGCCAATTCCCTAAATAGAAAGTTTTCTTTATAAATTTTCTTCCAATCTTCATCCAACATCCCTTCTTCCTGGTCTCGGATCGTGTCAGTCCTTACCGTCCATTCCATCTAGTCCATCAACCTGGAAGCCTTATGTCCGAGGCCCTTAAGTCTCTTCCATGTCCCTTCTGCAATTCTTCTTCTTCTTGTTTATACTTGCCCTTTTCCTTGTCTTTTGTTGGTCTCTTTCTTAGTTTCTTTCCTTTCTCATTGAGGAGTAGGCCTCTGGGGATTCCAAGCCAAAATTGTCTCCATCTCCCTTCATCATGCCCGCCCATTCCCCACAGTCCCACTCCCCACAGTCCTCGATATAGTCCAAAAAGTATTTAAAAGCATATTCCAAGGTCTCTCCAACGTTAGGAACCTCCTCAGCTCCAGACTCCCCCTGGCCCACTCCAACTTCAATCTTCAATGACAGCGGCTCATGCTCCTGTAGGGCCTCGAGACTCTCCATTTGTATTATTTGGGGTGCAACCGCATCCTCCTCCATTATCTTCTGCACTTGCCCAGTCAGTACAGATTCATGAGTTGGTCCCTGAATAATTTCTGTATCAATATTCCCTGTTTGCCCACAGTTATTAACCACAACAATCAAATCCATTTTCTCATTCATCAAGTCCATCTTCTCATGCATCTGTTCCAGCAAGGCACTTGTCTTGCATAAG